CTGGGCATGGCCAGCCCCTGCATGCGACGGAGAAGAGTCCCAGAGAGCCGAGGGTCTTCTGCATGGGGCCTCCTCCCCCCAGCACACACACACACACACATACACACACACACACACACACACACACACACACACTGCCCCGTTGGCAGAGAACCGCTGACTTCTCAAGAAACTGATTCCAACACTAACATCCGCTTTCCCTTCCACTATTGGGTCTTCCACACGAGGCCCCCCTCCTCCCCCCAGCACACACACACACACTCACACACACACACACACTCACACACTCACACACTCACACACTCACACACTCACACACTCACACACACACACGAGAACTGCCGACTTCTCAAGAAACGGATTCCAACGCCAACATCCGCCTTCCCTTCCACTGTTGGGTCTTCCGCACTGGGCCCCCCTCCCCCAGTGCGCACACACACACACACACACACACACACGCACCCGAGAACCACTGACTTCTCGAGAAACGGATTTCAACACCAACATCCGCCTTCCCTTCCACTGTTGGGTCTTCCGCACTGGGCCCCCCTCCTCCCAGTGCGCGCGCATGCACACACACACACACACACACACACACACACACACACACACACTGCCCCGTCTGCAGAGAACCGCCGACTTCTCAAGAAACGAATTCCAACGCCAACATCCGCCTTCCCTTCCACTGCACAGACAGGGAAAGAATGGTCAAGTGTGAACTGCCTTGGGGGGCCGGGGGCCTGGGCAGCAATAAAGGGATGGCCTCAGTGTCCCTTTTGCCATCAGCCCCTCCAGAGCCTGGCCTTCCCTACCCCCCTGTAGTCATGTAATAACCTCACAATAATTTCTTTTGTTTGTTTGTTTGTTTGTCTGGGTCCCACCCGGCGATGCTCAGGGCTGACTCCTGGCTCTGCACTCAGGGATCACTCCTGGCGGTGCTCGGGGGACCCTAGGGGATGCTGGGAATTGAACCTGGGTCTGTCACATGCAGGGCAAACGCCATCCCCGCTGGACTATCGTTCCAGCCCCAATCAGCTTTCGTTTTTTTAAAATTTCGTTTATTTTTTGCTTTTTGAGTCACACCTGGCGATGCTCAGGGCTGACTCCTGGCCCTGCACTCAGGAATCACTCCTGGCGGTGCTCGGGGGACCCTAGGGGATGCTGGGAATCGAACCTGGGTTGGCCGCCTGCAAGGCACACACCCTGGCCATACTGTTGCTCTGCCCGGGGACTGGGATATTTTCCGAGTGGCCAGCTGAGTTGGGTTAAAACCTCTGCTGCGGGCTGGAGCGATAGCACAGCGGGTAGGGCATTTGCCTTGCACGTGGCCAACCCGGGTTCGATTCCCAGCATCCCATAGGGTCCCCTGAGCACCACCGGGGATAATTCCTTAGTGCAGAGCCAGGAGTAACTCCTGTGCACCAGGTGTGACCCAAAAAAGCAAAAAATAAAAAATCTCAGCTGCTCTGGTTTTGCAGAAGGCCTGGGGCCACTTGTCCCCCCATCGGGATGCTGAAGTAGTGAGGTCCCAGGCTGCCTCACCACGCCCCATGGCTTTGTGTCTCTTCCTGGCTCAACTGAACTCTTGCCCTTGGAGTTTCTGAGGGACCATTACTTATTCATCTTTTTGTTTTGCTTGTTTTTGGGGGGGCCACACCCAGCGATGCTCGGGGCTGACTCCTGGCTCTGCACTCAGGGATCACTCCTGGCGGGGCTCGGGTGATGGGATGTTGGGGGTTGAGCCCGGGTCAGCCGCATGCGAGGCCAGCGCCCTCCCCTCTGTGCGGTCCCTCCGGCCCCATCTGTGGTTCATTTTTTCATCTCGCCTGCTGGCACAGTGCTATTGTGATGGTTGTATCGCGGTGTTCCTGGTGTCGGGGAAAGTTGTGCTTTACATTTGAGTAAACCCAAACCCATGCCAGACAGCCCAGGGTGTGTGTGTGTGTGGATGTGGGGTGGGGTGGGGGCGTTTTTGTAACCACACCCACCCAGAGGGCCCAAGGGGGGTGCAGGGAACTGGGAAGTTTGGGCTAGAATTGACAGTTGCTGGGGGCTGGAGCGATAGTACAGCGGGGAGAGCGTTTGCCTTGCACGAGCCCGACCCGGGTTCGATTCCCAGCATCCCATAGGGTCCCTCGAGCACTGCCAGGAGTGATTCCTGAGTGCAGAGCTAAGAATAACCCCAGAGCATTGCAGGGTGTGACCAAAAGAGCCAAAAAAAAAAAATAACTGACAGGTGCTCCCAGGATGGCCGCAGGGTTTGGGACACTTGAATTCAGGGCATAGTCACAGCTGGGCTACCTTGGTGAGTTTGGGATGCCACAGTCTAGGGGCGCCCACATGGTTCCGGGGCTTGAACCCGTGTTGGCAAGGCAAGTCTCTGCCCTGCTGAACCTCTCCGGTCCCCCAGATGCCATTTTTTTTTTTTGCTGGCTTCGTGATGGGGGCAGATAATTTCATGAAGGAGTGAACTGGGCTGTATATTTCTTTTTTTTTTTTTGTATTGATAAAAATTTTCTTTATTTTTTTTTTAATTGAACCACGGTGAGATAGAAGCTTTCATGTTTGAGTTTCAATCAAACAATGATGGAACACCCATCCCTCCACCAGTGCACATTCTCCATCACCAATGTCCCCAGTATCCTGCCCCCCCAACCCCACCCCTCCCCCTGCCTCCATGGCAGACAATCTCCCCCAGACTCTCTCTCTACTTTGGGGCATCATGGTTTGCAATACAGACGCTGAGAGGCCATCACGTTGGGTCCTCTGCCTACTTTCAGCACACACCTCCCATCCCGAGCGACCCCTCCATCCATCACTGACTCAGTGACCCCTTCTCCATCCCAGCTGCCTTCTCCCCCAGCTCATGAGGCAGCTGCCAACCATGGAGCAATCCTCCTGGCCCTGGTGTCTACTCGCATATTTCATTAGAACCGAGTTTCCGCTTCTTGGCGCCCCTTCCCAGCTGCAGAACCTTCGCCCAGCAGCCTGCCCCGCGGTTGCTGGCTCCATCCCAGGGAGAGAAACGACTTTCTTCTCTCGCCGCGCAATGGGATCTGTGCAAGGCAGCGGAGTCAAGCAGAAGATCAGCGTGCCCCCCAGGGAAGCCGGGGACCTGCCCACGGAGGCCCCGGCGAGGGGACTGTTTTTCCCCACTCCTCACGGGTTCACGGGTGCATCTTCGTACCCAGAATTATACTGCATGGAGTGAGAACTCGGGGAGGAGATGGGGGGGGGAGGGGTCCACACAGGGGCTGGTTTCCAGAGTTTGCAAGGCCCAGTAACAATACATTAGTGGGGTTAAAGGTGACAGGGTGCCACGGCTGTTCCCCTGTCATCAGGTGTTAACGTGTGAGAAGCGTCTGTGGAAACTTGCACATCCCGTGCAGAGCCGAACAGTTTGTTCTTACTCTATTGATTTTGGTTTTGGGGGCCACACCCGGCGATGCTCAGGGCTGACTCCTGGCTCTGCACTCAGGGATCACTCTTGGCGGTGCTTGGGGGACCCTATGGGATGCTGGGAATCGAACCCGGGTCATCTGCGTGCAAGGCAAACGCCCTCCCCGCTGTGCTGTTGCTCCGGCCCCTGTTATTCTTCTTAAAAATGACCTTAGGGGGAGAATGGGCATTGGTGGAGGGATGGGTACTCGATCATTGTATAACCGAAACCCAAGCACAAAAAAAATCGTAAGTCTACAACTGTTAAGCTTAGCTTAAGGCCCTCCCGTTGATCGTCGATTTGCTCGAGCAGGCCCAGTAACGTCTCCATTGGAGACTTTGTTGTTACTGTGTCTGGCATATCAAATACTCTCGGTAGCTTGCCGGGCTCTCCGAGAGGGGCGGAGGAATCGAACTCAGGTCGGCCATGGCCGCTTGTAAGGCAAACGCCCTCCCCGCTGTGCTCGCTCCAGCCCTCCCTCCTGAGACTCTTATAGCTGATACTGAGACCTGGGGCAGCTTTCTTTGGGCCTCTGTTTTATTTGGGGATGTGAGCGATAGCTCAGCGGGTAGGGCGTTCGCCTTACAAGCGGCCAACCTGGCCCACCCGAGTTCGATTCCTCCGCCCCTCTCGGAGAGCCCGGCAAGCTACCGAGAGTATTCGATATGCCAGACACAGTAACAACAAAGTCTCCAATGGAGACGTTACTGGGCCCGCTCGAGCAAATCGACGATCAACGGGAGGGCCTTTACCTTTACCTTTACCTACAACTGTACCTCATGGTGTTTCACTAATAAAATTTTAAAAAAAATATGACTTTCTAGGGGCTGGAGCGATAGCACAGCGGGGAGGGCGTTTACCTTGCACGCAGATGACCCGGGTTCGATTCCCAGCATCCCATAGGGTCCCCCGAGCACCGCCAGGAGTGATTCCTGAGGGCAGAGCCAGGAGTCAGCCCTGAGCATCGCCGGGTGGGACCCAAAAAGCACAAAATAAATACAAAATAATAAAAATGACCTCCTATGTGGTCTCCGCCTCTTGACCCAGGATGGGGGGCGTTGTGAAGGCGTTTCGGACACGTTCAGACATTTGCGGGTCACGGAATGCCCGGCTTCATTCCGACCGATCGGCTCCTGCACCCTTTGCCATGGGGTGCGGGGGAGGGAGCAGCCCACCCGCCATCACCCACGCGCGTAAGCTTCTATCACGCCTCTTTGCCTGTTCTGTAGCAGCGGGGGAGAGGGGGCACCCCTGGCGTTGTTGGGTAGGAGAGCTCCCATCCCTTGGGCCGAGCCCGGGACCCCACACAGAGCTGCCGCCCCGTCTTCTGCACCATGGGTTTGGGGGTGTCCAAGTGGGTGTCTCTCCACGCACCGGGTCCCACGCTGTCGCTGTTACGGCCACGCGGGAGGGCACGATGGCTCGTCTTTGCGGACACCCTTTCCTCCCGGGAACTGCCCACCTGGGCATCATCTCTGCAGACCCTATTGCCCACCCCCCCCAAGTCGTGATCCCACCCCGACGCCCGGCATGGCGGGAAAGAGACACTCTGGGCAGGCGAGTAGGACGTTTATTCTGTGTATACAGAGGAGAGGCTGGGGGGGGGCGTGGCGAGGGAGGGAGAGACGCCCCCCCATGTCGGGACACCCCCAGACAGCACGCAGGGGGGATCAGGCCGCCTTTCCAGAAGAGCAGGGGTAGGCACATGTCAACGCCTCCTCCGTCTCCCACCTGCCCCCCACGCCCCTCACCTGCCGTTCCCGGCCCCGACATCTGCTTGCTGAGGCCCCGTCCGGGCCCGGTGGTAGCCCCCGTTTTCTGGAAGCTTCTGTTTCTGGTCTGGGATATTCTTCCCGCCCAGCCCGCCAGCCCCCCTCTTCTCCAGGGTGCAGAGTCTTAAATCGTAGGGGTGCTCAGGGAGGGTACTGGGGGGAGGGGACAGTGACTGGGTACAAGGCTCTGTGCAGGGCTGACCCCGGGGCGGGGACGGTGGTGAGGACGAGCTGGTGTCTGCTGGGGAAGTCCCGGGGGCCATCCCGGGGGGGGCGGCGGCGTGGCTGCGTTACACGTTTTCGAATTCACAGTCGTAGTCCGTCATGCGGCACATGATAAACTTCCACTGACGGTCTCTGTGGGGACAAGGGGCCCGGTCAGCGGGGCCCGGTGAGCGGGGCCCAGCCGGGCTCCCAGGGGACCCAGGGGACCAGTGCTGTCAGCTGACACGGCCAGAGACCCTACAGGAGCTGACCCGTGGGGTCCCGACAGCCCCAAAGTGGCAGAGGGGGCCCTGGGTGGGGGGAACCAAGGGCCATGGGCCAAGATGTGAATGGGACTAGAACGTTCTTTGACACCCCTCCCTGCCCTCCCCCCTCCCGTCTGCCAGCTCCTGTCCTGGGTGGGGGGGGGGGAGGCCTCTCTGTGACATCACCTCCGCACCCCACCCCTACTTGAGAGCTCGAACCCAGCCCTGGAGGGTTCCTGTGTCCATCCCGGCCATCTCCCGCCCCCCTTACACGGGATCCGCCTGCACCTCTCGCCCCCCGCCCCCCCGTGCCGTCAAGTGGTCAGCAGCGGGGCAGGGAGAGGTGCCCGGACGGTGGGGCCGGACCCCCAGCGCTCTGTCGGACCCTTGAACTCGGGCACCGTGGTGAGGCGCCTCGCGGGGACCTGCCCTCTTCTTGGGGGGCCCCGGACGTCTCAGGAGCCCCTCCCCCACCAGCCCCTCCCCCCTATCGGGGCGCTGTCTACACTCCCCAGCCCCGGGACCCACCTGTCCACCGCCGAGAAAGTGGTGGTGGCGCCGCGGATGTAGTAGTCGTAGCTGTAGGACACCATGTCCATGTCCTCGCCGTAGTGCTCTGGGTGCTCGGTGGTCAGCCTGCAGGGACGGAGCGGGCGCGGGTCGTCCCTCGGGGCCCCCGACTCTTGGTATTCTTTTATGTTTGAATTTGGGGCATGCCCGGCAGTGCTCGGGGATGACGCCCGGCTCTGTGCTCGGGGCTGACTCCCGGCTCTGTGCTCAGGGCTCACTCCTGGCTCTGTGCTCAGAGCTGACTCCTGGCAATACTCAGGGCTGACTCCCGGTTCTGTGCTCAGGGCTCACTCCCAGCTCTGCGCTCGGGGCTCACTCCCGGCTCTGTGCTCAGGGCTGACTCCCGGCTCTGTGCTCGGGGATGACTCCCGGCTCTGTGCTCGGGGATGACTCCCGGCTCTGTGCTTGGGGCTGACTCCCAGCTCTGTGCTCAGGGCTGACTCCCGGCTCTGTGCTCAGGACTGACTCCCAGCTCTGTGCTCAGGGCTCACTCCCGGCTCTGTGCTCGGGGTTGACTCCCGGCTCTGTGCTCAGGGATGACTCCCAGCTCTGTGCTCAGGGCTGACTCCCGGCTCTGTGCTCAGGACTGACTCCCGGCTCTGTGCTCAGGGCTCACTCCTGGCTCTGTGCTCAGGGCTGACTCCCAGCTCTGTGCTCAGGGATGATTCCCAGCTCTGTGCTCAGGGCTGACTCCCGGCTCTGTGCTCAGGACTGACTCCTGGGAATACTCAGGGCTGACTCCCGGTTCTATGCTCAGGGCTCACTCCCAGCTCTGTGCTTGGGGCTCACTCCCGGCTCTGTGCTTGGGGCTCACTCCCGGCTCTGTGCTTGGGGCTCACTCCCGGCTCTGTGCTCAGGACTGACTCCTGGTGAGCTTGGCCGCCCTGCCCTGCTCCCGTCACTCCGGGGGTCCCCCCTCCCCCCGCTCTATTCTTGGTGCTGGTCCAGCTCGAGGAAGCCGATCACTGGCAGCCTTCACTTCACGCGGGGCTGCGAGCCCAGAGGCTCCCACTGCAAGGGGAGAGGAAATGGGGGCGGGGTGGGGGGCTGGGGGCGGGGGCCGTTTCGTGGCTGGGTTCGGGGCACTGCAGGGCTGGGAACCGCCTTTGCTCATCATTTCTTTCTTTCCTTGCTGCGTCTGGATCGAAGTGTGTTTGGAAAGACATTGACGTGGGGCCCCGGGGAAGGGGGCGACTCTCCCCATCTCTGCCATCAGCCCCTAACCCAGTGTCCACTCCCCAGCAGACACCTTGGGAGGGATGCCTCACCGAAGCTGCCCCAGTGGGAGCATTGTGGTACCAGGCGTACATACTCCAGCATTAATACTCTGGAGCATCAAAACACCCGAGCGTTTAAATACTCTGGAGTATTAAGACACTCAAGTAGGTGTGTGCTCGAGTATTAATGCTCTCCGGCCCCTTTCACTCATCCAGTCGTGCCTTGAGTGTTTTTAAGTACTCTGGAGAGTTAAAACGCTTGAGTGTTTAGATAGATCCTCAAGTATTAGTGCTCTCCCAGCCGCTTCCCTCTTCCACCCACCCGTTCCCTGGAGCGTGCTTGCAAATGCGCCGCCCGGCCCCGCGGCGTCTCTGAAAACAGGGCAGGGAACTGTGACCGCGCCCCGATGCTCACCAGCAAGAGTAGGGGCAGCGTTTGCTGTAGCGGCAGCAGTAGAATTGCCACTCGCGGTCCAGCACCGACTCGAAGTAGCGGCTCTGGAAACCGGCCACCAGGCCGTTGCTGGAGCAGGTCTGGTACCTGGAGGGATGGCGGGGGCGTATGTGGGACCCTGTGAGACCTGCCACCCGCCTCCGACCCCAGACCCCACGCCTGCAGTGGTGGTGGCGTTGGCCCCCTGCACAGCCTAATGCTCCCATTTTTGCGCACGTCAGACAGACTTCGGTCCATCTGCAGAACCGCGGCCCCTCCCGAGATCCCGCGAACCGGCGCCAGGAAATCTGGGAACAATGTTCTCCGAGAGTCCAGAAGCGTCCTCGGAGGGAGTGGACTCATGAGGGCCTGTGTCTCAGCGGGGAGCCGACATAAAGCCCCGATGCAGTGGGCAGCTGGGCAACTGCCCACGCCTGGCCTCTGCCCACCCCCAGACCCCATCACATCTCCACCCTCCCGGCTGTTCCCCCCCTCCCCGCCCCCAGCCCTCTGGTTCCCGGGAAGATGCACCAGGACAGAGCGTGGCTGTCAGGCCGTGGCAAGGCCGCCGGGGGTGCTCCCTCAGGTCCTCCCACCGTTTCCTCTCTGCGCTCAGCCGTGGGCAACGGGTCCAGCAGGGACGGGGGATGGTCCAGCCCTTACCACTCCATGCCCGCCCTGTTGATTTCTTCCCACCAGCACTCGCTGGGCTCCCCGAGGCTCTGGGGCGTGGGCGCGCACGCATAGTTCCACTGGCGGTCGGACCCTTCCTTCTTGCTGAAGATGCTCCGGATGGCCACCACCACCTGCCCGTGCGGACACTGGAAGCTGAAGCCCTGGCGGTTCAGGTTGGCCCAGCCCTCGTCGTAGTCCTGGTACTGCAGCTCGTAGTGGCCGTACTGGGCCCGGGCCGCGCCGGCCAGCGCCAGGAGCACACCCAGGACGCGGAGGTCCATGCTGCCCCGCTTGCCGGCGAGCGCTGACCCCACCCGGGGCCGCGGGGCGCGTGGCTTTTATGCGGCCGCCGCTGCCGCCGACGACATGTGGCTTCCAGATGTCGGGGAGCCGGTTCCAAGCGCGGTGTCATGTCTGCCGAGCGTCCTGGCGCCCAGCTGCTGGCCAGAGCCCTTGAGCCTGTCTTAAGGTGGAATTCCGGGGGTCCCGGGAAGAGGCAATGTTCGGCTCTGTGTCCTCCACGCAGGGGGTGCCCCGACCCCCAAGATTCCCCTCTCACCTCAGCCCTACCCTGCAGTAGCCTCCATGCACTGGTCGCTAGAGTGTCCCAAAACTCAGGGAGGTCCCTGTCCCCCTCGTCTTGTCCGGGGCTCAGGATGCTGAGTCCCCTTGAAGGACTGCTCCAAGCGCCATGGGGGAAGGACTCGGCCAGAAGCCGGAGCCAAGTTGTGTCATAGGGGGCTGGAGCCATAGCACAGCGGGGAGGGCGTTGGCCTTGCACGCAGCTGACCCGGGTTCGATTCCCAGCATCCCCTAGGGTCCCCCGAGCACCGCCAGGAGTGATTCCTGAGTGCAGAGCCAGGAGCAACCCCTGTGCATCACCGGGTGGGACCCAAAAGGCACTATCACTATCATTATCACCCCATTGTTCATCGATTTGCTCGAGCGGGCACCAGTAACATCTCCATTCATTCCTGTCACGTGCTAGTGTAGCCTGATGGCATACTGGGGGCTCTTTCGGGTCAGGGGAATGAGGACTGTCATTGTTACTGTTTTTGGCATATCGAGTACACCACGGGTATAGCTTGCCAGGCTCTGCCGTGCGGGCGGGATACCCAAAAAGCAAAAAAAAAAAAAAAAAAGTTGTGTCAAAGTATCTGAGATCTGGTGACGCATGGGAACGACCTCTTCACCTGTTCGCGACCCCAGGCTTGCTGGCGTGGCTGAGGGCAAGTCCCCCTGCTGCCTTGGAGACGCCCCAAAGCGCCACCCGTCACCTCTGACTCCCCCACTCGCCGCCCGCTAATCTCGTTGCCAGATTTTGCCTTTTCCAGAAAGTTCCATCCGGAGCATCCGGCTTCTTCTCCGTCTCCTACCATCCCCCTGGCGGCTCTGGGTGCGGGAGATTGTTCCGCTCCGGCCTGCGTTTGTGCCCCTGGGCCTTGGCCCGTTCAGCCGTTTCGCAGCTGACACTCTCTCGGGGCGGGAAAGCGTAACGCGTCGACCAGCCTGTTCTCGCGGGAAGAGTCTGCATCCGTCTGTGAGCGTTTCCACGGGCTGGCCGCGTTTCTCAGTGTGCACCCTGGGAATTCACTCCCTCCTCCCCCGACACCCCTCCCGGAGGGATGAGGGGACAGTTTTAGCCTCAGGGCCTGGGGGCCAGGTCACTCTAACTCGCCCTGACCAGTGCTTCCCAGCGTAAGGTACTGGAATGTTCCACATGGCCTCATGCTATTGGTGGGAACTTTCTGCTTATTGGTTGCGAGAGGCAGGTTTTGGGGTGGGGGTGCGTGTTTTGCTCTGGGGAGAGGTCCAGTGACACCTGGCAGCTCAGATCGGGGAAACCAAGGCACGGCCCCCTGACATCAGGAGGGAGAGCGCCCCCCCCCCCCCCCGCCTGCTGAGTCAGGGAAGGCAGGAGATCAGGGGGCCTGGTGAGGGGTGGGTGAGGGGCTCAGGACAAGCTCTGCTGTGCACCCCCCCAGGTCTCTGCACCCACAGTTCGACAGCCCCTCCCATACCCGGGGCCACATGCCACAGTGATTTTTATTTGGAGAACTTTGCACAAGGTAGGCAGTACAAAATATTTGTGGAATGAATGAAATTATCACCAACACCCCAGAACCAGATGATAACTGAGTGTGTGTGGGGGGGAGGGAGGGGAGGGAGGGGGGAGGGGGAAATCGTCCTTGTTCAAAGGTCGTCCCGAGGCGGCCCTGCTCACGGAGGCCAGCGGATCCCTCGGACCCCCGTCCACTGAGCTGTCCCACTGCACTGTCCCCACACTGCTGGCCATCCGGAGGCTCTCTGCCTTTTGCCCACCTCCGCTTCTGTGGGCTCACGTCACAGAAGCCGCGAGCTGCCTGCTCTAATCGGATTCGGGCGTTTATTTGCCGGGCAGCTGAGATTAAGCTCTGGCATCAGCCAAAGCCCTTAATTGGCACTCGTGGATTTGTGGGTCTTTACAGGCCGGGCGGGTGTTGGCGTGGGGGGGGGCTTGGGGGACTCGGGGCGGGGGAGGTGCTCAGGGATGGGCAGTTGGCGAGCGACTTCCTTGTCAGCACAGTTCTGGGGCGACTTCCTTGTCAGCACAGTTCTGGTCTCTGACTGCCGCCCGAGCTGTTTGATCACACCAACAGCCAGGGGACTGTGCCGTTCAGAGGGGACCCATATGAGTGGCAAATCACAGGCTCCGTGAGAAATAGCCTCTTGGTGGCGCGACCTTCTGCCCTGCCCCGCTCCAGGCTGTGGGTACCACGGAGGGGGTGATGCTCATTTCTGGGGCAGCTTAAGCCCCTCCTGCCCCTCCCCCTCCCCCCTGCAGCTGCTGGGGTCGTTTTCAGGCAGTTTCCCTCCCCCCTGGCCGTGCCCACTCACCCGCCCTCCCTGGCACCTAAGCCAACCCGGCGGAAACCAGTTCACACCAAACCGGCAGCCCAGAACCTTGATTGCCAGGTGCGGCCAGCGCCGGGGACCCCAAACCGGCCGGGGCTGCCCTGGGTCATCCCGCAGAGGCCGCACCCCGGGAAGGAACTTGGTGGCCCTTGGCGGGACGGCGGCCGGGGCAGGACGGGAGGTCACAGAGAGAGAGAGAGAGAGAGAGAGAGCCAAGGATCCGAGAACAGAGGCAGAACCAGAGCAGAGAGCGCGGGAAGTCAGGCCGCCAGGAGTCAGGTCACAGGCTGGAGCCGTGGCACCAGCAAACCCCTCGGCTCACCCTGGCACCGCCACACTTGGCCCTGCAAGCCCCCAAATCCTCACATCAGCCAAGTCAGCACGGTTACGGCTACATAGTGGTCCCCAATATCGCAAAGGCTTCAGGGGACAGCTTCACTCAATCTCCCCTCCTCGGCCCACCAATACCGCGGGATGCTTCCAGCCAAGGTCCCGCCTAGGCCGTCCCCGCCTCGAACCTCTCCCTAGCCCCCAGCCCCTCCCAGAGCCCCCTGCTCCTCCCCCATTCATGTCACAGTCCCAGGGATCCTGTGTGCCCCCAACCCCCCCGCGGGCTCCGTGCAGACACAGTGCCAGGATGAAATGCGGTTTCCTAAAGGATTCGAGTAATAGCCTCTTGGTGGCGCGACCACGAGGCGCATGCTGGCAGCATATGGAGGGGACCCCGGGGTGTCCTTGCAGGAACCAAGTGGCTTTGCACCGTTGGACCGCAGAAGCCAAGAGCCACCTGTGGGACCCCCTTGTGGACACAGTTTGATGCTCCCCCACAAATATTTTTTTAAAAAGACAATTTCAAGAAGTAAAGGGGTGACCTACGGGACAGGAAGTCACCCATGTGCTAAGGGGTGAAGGTTCACCCCTATTTGTGGAGCACTCATTGCCTCGTGGCGTCTCAGGGGTGGGGATGAAGGTTGGAGGATGCGGTTGATGGTTTATGTGTCCCCGTGGCTCATGTGTCTTGGTGGCTCATGTGTTCCACTGGCTCACGTGTCCCCGTGGCCTACAGAGGCCCGGGGCAAGGTGGAGGAGACCGTCTTGCCACAGCAAACCTTCCCTGGTGGCCTTTTCAGGGACAGGCTGATGGTCTGGCCCTCGACCGGCAGGCACCAGAATGGACTCTGGACTCCCACCATCCTGCCAAGATGTTGTTCTGAAATCCCCCCTCCTGGGGCACCCTCAGAGCCTGCCCGCCTGGGTTTGTCTCCCCTTCCTGCACCCCGAGTCCAACAGGGGTGAGTGACACCTCACTGGCTGAAATTCGAACCCGAGGCACTCAGCTGGTGCCATGCTGCAAACGTAACAGGGTCTCGGAGCTTGCTTCACGGCAAGAGGCCCTTCCCCCCTGCCAGGGTGCCTGGGGTAAGAATTGGGCCTTGGGGTGGGAGAGATAGCACAGCAGGAAGGGTGTTGCACATGGCGACCCGGGTTCAATCCCCGGCATCCCGTTGGGTCCCCTGAGCACCGCCAGGAGTGAGTCCTGAGTGCAGAGCCAGGAGTCAGCCCTGAGCATCGCTGGAGTGACCCAAAAAGACCAAAAAAAAAGAGAGAGAAAGGAAGGAGAGAGAAAGAGAAAGAGAAAGAAAGAAAGAAAGAAAGAAAGGAAGGAAGGAAGGAAGGAAGGAAAGAAAGGAGGAAGGGAAGAAAGAAAAAGAAAGGAAGAAAGGAGAGAGAAAAAGAGAGAGGGAGGGAGGGAAGAAAGAAAGAAAGAGAGAGAGGGAGGGGAGAGAGGAAAGAAAAGAAAAAGAAAGAAAGTAAGTAAGAAAGAAAGAGAGAAAGAGAAAAAGAGGGGCTGAAGCAATAGTATAGTGGGTAGGGCGTTTGCCTTGCATGCAGCCAACCCGGGTTCAATCCCCAGCATCCCATAGGGTCCCCTGAGCAGCGCCAGGAGTGATTCCTGAGTGCAGAGTCAGGAGTCAGCCCTGAGCATAGCTAGGTGGGACCTGACAAGCAAAAAAAAAAAAAAAAGAATTGAATTGGGCCTAACAGAGAGGGGGTGCGTTCTTCGATGTGGGCTGGCAGAAGTTGGCATGGTCTTAGGGGGCAGTGGGCGCCACTGGTCAAACCTCTGGGTCCTCCTTAAACTTGGGGGCATCTCAGCCGCGTACTCACCCCAGGAGCCACTCCACTGGGCTCCGGCCCCAGTGCCCTGGATGGCTGCCAGCGCCGGGAGTCAGGGGTCCCGCCCTCTGCACCCACACCCGATGACGGGGCTCATCCGCCAGCCATGGCCGCTGGAGAAGAGACAGACTTCTAGAAGGACTGTGGCGCGGGGCTGAGTCTCTGGTGTACTGTCCAGTGTCCTGGGGCTGGCTGCTGCCTTCAGGGTCCCTGTGGCTGTGGGGG